GGACAAAATAGATATAAAGAGGAGATACAAAGTTGGGCTAGCTCTTACTCAAGTGAGAGAAAAGTAGAGTTCTGAGATATTCTCAAGCACATCTAAAGCTGGGGTGTATTTTCTTTTCCCTTTCTTCATATCTAAGCCTTGTATACTGAAAATATACTATGAGAGAAAGTAGGGAAATAGTAAAATCTGTAATAGCCAACAAAAAATTTACTTTAGAAATGATCACATCTATGAAAATAATCATTTAAAAAGACAATGAGTTTTCACAGACAATTAGAATTCCATCACAGCGAGGGCTTTTCCAGTCAGGCGGGAAATAAGATGTTATATTGTAGGAAAATAGTACAGAATGTTCTGGGCTTCTTTTGTCTTTCCATTATGAGAATCAAATAAAAGCATTCTTGTATAATATACTGGATGATAACTACACAGAGATTTGTAAAAGCAAACTTCTGTGTCAAGGTATTTAAACGGCGTAACTCTTTCTCATCTGCACTCCCTCATCCAGTGCTTACTATTCCCAAAGCACACCATAGAGCCTGGCGAGGCAGAGGTTTGGAGAACGGATGCCGGATGAGGATGGGCATGCATAGACATCTTCAAGGACAAACTGAAAGCAGATTCGGTTCCTCAAGTCTGTTCTAAACATTAAATGTTCTCCATGCCATGCTGTACTTTGAAGATTTACGGCATGGACCATCACAGGCATTTGCTGGAGGCTTCCCTGACCATTCACAACATCAGGATCACAGCAGAGCTGGGACATGCCTGGAACAGAAGTCATGGTCTCCGAGCCTTATCTTCCTATAACTCTGACATTTAACTCGCTAAAGCCTTCTCGTTAAATTAGAGGATCGAGTCAGTCAATTAAACATTTATTGATAAAATCCATGGCCACAAGAGATTAGTTTATATACTTTATAATTTTAAATTAATTTTAAAATCCTTTTCTAAACTGATTTCCAAATAAACTCTCTTAAATGTAGCTACTTAAAATTTTAATTTCAAGTTTGTGTTTTGGAAGTTTTCTCTAGTTCTTTAGGTTCCTCGTGAGTTTGGTGATTTTGCCCTTCATATCACAATTAAATCATTAGCATATTCCTTCAAAGGATATTTTAAAATGTCAGTGTAACAAGAGTTTACAAAAGAGCATTTATAAAAAGTGTTTCCTAATACTTTAGAATTTACACAATTTTATACCAAAACCTAGCTATTCTATCACAGTGTGCCCCTACGCAATCATGCAAAGGTGCACAGTGGATGTCTGACAACTATACTCAACTATACTGGTCATTACACAGAATAACATGTAAAGGTGGTAGACACTTTCACTAACTTTTATCATACGAAACAATTATTTTCCAACTAGAGTATTTGCTAGATAAAAATATCTTTAAAAACTGAAAAATTTTAAATCAAATATAACATGTTGCTATTCCTCTAATAAGACAAGAATCGCAAGCTGCTTGAGAAAGAAACTGTAGCTATGTCTACCCATTACTCATGAATGTGTATCCCACTTCCTGCGAGGCAGAAAAACAAAGACCAGCCTTATTCACTACAGCTCTAGCTATCGACAGTATACTTCCTGTGCCTCTGTCTGTCTACCAAAATAAGAACATGTTCTTTAATAAATAAGAATTATCAAAAGATGGTTATGCAAAGACCACTTGTCTGTTGTAATGAATATTCTAATACAAGTAGCTTTGTCAGACGTTAGTCAACTCTCAGCAGCTCTCATCTGTAAGACTTGGTTTAAAATTGCTGGTCTTAACATTCTTATGAGAACAAACTTCCTAAATCATACTATAATTCTGATTATTAACCTAATTTTCCAGCAAGTAAATAGGTTAGCATCTTACTTTATGAATAGTAACATTTCCCAAATTATTATAAAATATTAATAATGACAGAAATCAAAATGAGTGGTAAAAGTAAGAAATACAAAGTTTTAAGTTGCTACATAATTAAACTAAGTCTGTCTATAAATATATAGAATGAGGGATTTCAATAGTTCATTTTCTGAAATTAAATGAACTCATCTGAAATTTACCCAGTTATATATAATTGAACTTGCCTTCCCATTCTCATAAACACACTACCAGAACACTAACTTTGATTGATGGTTATTTGGCCCTAAAGATTACTCTTTTATTTAAAATATTCCAACTATATATGTTTGAAAATGTCTACATGGCATATTACTAAAACAAAATCACAATACTTCCATATACAAGCTGTAAAAGAGTCTCAATGTGTCACTGTCTTCAAAAGTTTTTTTAATGAAATAATACCCTTAAAATCATTCCCAATAAAACATCTAGATTTTGTTTGGTTTTGATGGTCCAAATCTACAGTGAAATGATGAAATCAAAAGCCAAGTGTTCCTGTCAGAAAACAGGAAGAAAGGTGGTTTTTTTTCCCTCCCAAAAGGAAAACAAAGGATTCCTGAGGCATGCCCTGATTTATTTTTCCAATTTTAAATACCTTAAGAGCAGCGGAAGTGCTACTGGCGTGGTAGTATTTCTAACAGTCAATAAATCTAAAATATTATGTGTGAATATTGGAATGAAGCCATTAAGAAGATTACAGCATGCAACGCACCAGAGGGTCCAGAGGAAAAAAGAGCTAGTAATTCAGGACAACTGTGACCACTGACCTCTGAGCAGCGCGGCCACTGGTCCATGTGACACAGTAATAGAGAGCACATGCACACACTCACCCGGCCTGGGCACATAATTTAAATGCTTTGGGGGATGCTTTCAAAAGGGCCTCCTTTCAAATCTCAGTTAACTTACTAACTAATCAAACAATGCCAATAGTAATACCTTCCAAGCTTCAGAAATATGTATTAATGTAAATCACACACAAAAATTCAGTTATCATTCAGGATTTTATCAGATCTTATTTAAAACATTTGCCATTTTAAACTGTGTAGCACTCTAAAGGGCAGCCTTGAAAAACTGATGAAAATGAGAACTTTATTAAAGATCAGATGAACAATTGTCTAAAATATTTTAGAAAATCACCACGACTTGAAAAGACCTCTTATTTTCAACACAGCCCTTGCTCTATCTCAGAGCTTTTACTCGCCGAGTCTTCAGCTGTCGGCAAGTCTGTGGCCTTCAAATGGCAGCACCTTTGCAATCTGCCTGACTCGCTGCCAACGCTCCTTTTCCAACATGCGCACAATGGCGGTTAGCTGAATGTAGTGCTAAATCAGAGCACACCGCTTCTTTTGTAACCTCTATGTGTGTCCGTACATCTGTGAACGTCGCTTAGCATTCCTATACATTTAAATCTTAATTACAAAAAAAAAAAATTACAAGCAAAGTACTTCTCAGTTAAAAGCGATTCCCACTATGCTGAGACTTCAAAGGCTCAGTCCGGAGCTCGGGGCAACTGTACAGATTTTAATATCATGTAGAGAAAGGCAGAGTTCCTCTCACTCTTCTTTTTAGTAAACATAACAGTAGGAAATGTGTATGCCATAATTAAAATGTTTTGAAAAGCTGGAATTCTGTTTTCGTAAGGATTTCTCCACCCATTGAAACCTACTTGGATGGATTTCTAGATACATAGTATATCCTTAATAGCAGTCCAGTCTCTGCAGAATTCATGACGAAGCCCCCGGCTGCATTAAGCTGAGAGAAAAACAGTGTCGGCCGGTCTGAGTCTGGATGGTTCACACAGTTTTACTGCAGAGAATACACAGCTCGGCCTAATGAGCTTAAAGGTCAGGGACTGGGCTGGTTATTGATAAGCCTAAGCATTCTGGCTTTGATATTAAATTCCCATTTTCCTATCATTATCCATGGGCACAATCTAGGCTAGTACTAATGTATTATTTAAACTTGAGAGTTTTAAATTCACCTTCTAAAACGCCTTAATAATGAAGAAAATAGAGAAAAATTTATTGCAAAGTTTACTTTCAATTCTCAAATTTTAATAATGTTGAGAAGAATGAACATTTTGAGGGCTTCTTTTAAAGAAGGGAGTTATTTTAAACTTATAACTATGTTATAAAGACATATAAATAATCATCAAATATGTACAGAAATAGCACAAGTTTGCAATTTTGCCCTTTATTAAAGAACACAAAAGTCAACAATGGCAATTTTACATAGATTATTTAATAAGAAATACAGAATATATCCCATTAAAACACACACACACACACACACACACACATACACACACACACACACACACACACACACACACCATCCACAAGATCAAAGACCTGAAGAGAACCGGCACTTAATCTATCAGCTTTACAGACAAAAGACAGTTTTCATCATTTCAAAAGGATCAGATGTCTTTTATGACAAACTGGGTTTGCAGTTTAATTTACAAATAGAATTCGAAGTAAGCATTCTTTGCTCTGCCAAAGGAGATGACAAACTGTAGGTTTTCATTCTTGTGGCCCTCAGCAGGACAGGAAAGATTAAAATAAAACTGAAATAATTTAGAGAAAACAAATAAATGTTTCAGAAAGTTGAGAGAGATCAAAGCCAGAATTCTCTGACCCCAACTGTACAAGCATTTCTTATTATATTGACCAGTGCCATCAGATCATTAATTAAAAGGAAAAGCGCTGGCAGGTGGCAGGGAAGCAAAAGCCGATAATTGGCCCCTTCTTCTTCTTGCCTTCAAAAACTCTCTCGTTCTTTTTGCAAGACATGCCACCAGGCAGACAGAATGCCTACTTTGTAATACAATGATTAAGACGAGATGAAGGGACTCAATGTTAAAGAAACTCTGCGTAATGAATGCATCTAGCTTTGTAATTATGATCCCGTTTTTACAATAAGGAACACGGCATTCTATTTAAAATCTCAACTGCCAAAAGGTAAAATATTAAAAATAGAATCTACATAGGTTCTTCTTAAAACCCTTGTATAGACCGACTTTAAAGGCTCAGATACAAAGTGGAAAACAGTAACTTGAGGGTCCACCAACAAACATTCTTGCTCAGCACAGACATCCCTTGGACTTACCACATCACTGGGTAGGTTGCTCAAGTCATTAAATGGTGATTCTAAAGTGTTTGTGTCAACATTTAACACAACAACATCTTCCAATGATTTATTTTTCACTTTCTGTTTAAAAAACACAATTATGAAAAGATCTCATTATATTTTTTGTACAAATTTATGATGCGTTTGGAAACAAAAAATTATCTTAGTGCAGCTTGGAAAAATTAAAGAAGGAAATTCAATATTATAAAATAATATAAACAACTTTGCTTTCTGAGAAAGGAAATTTAACTATAATTCATCCAAAATTATTTGATTAGAATGCTTGGCGTAGAAAATTTCCTCATCTAATATCAATTAAAATGGCTGCCAAACATTTAGCACAACACTTATAAGAAGAGGTGCATAAAAATATAAAAGCTGTAGCTTTTATCATTTCAATGTCAAACTTATAATATGGAAAATTGTTTCCAGGGTCAAACCCATTTTAGCATAAATACATTGGCGAGAGGAATAAACTAATAATGATGACTATAGTACTGAAGTACATTTTATGTAAACAAATGTCCCTATACGGCCATACCAATGTGCATCCACGAGCAGGACTGGAAGTGAAATGAGCAGATGATGCAGAGACTACTAATATGTAATTTGCCAATTATGTCCTCATGTGAATTTGTACGTAAAGAGCAACATTTATAATGCCAGCATTTGGAGGCAGAGGCCATCCCGGTCTGGAGAGTGAGTTCTAAGACAGGCAGTGCTAAACAAAGAAACCCTGGCTCCAAAAAAAAAAAAAAAAAGACAAAATTTAACAATTCATCAGATTGATTTATCTTTCCATGTTGTTGGAGATTTAGTAAAATGCTATCTCAATAGGTTTACAAATAGGAAAGTTATAAAAATCGTATCAAAACTGTCATAGCTGAGAGGGAATATAGTTTATTTTCTGTTTCACATACCTACTTAAAACACCAAACTCTACTGTGGCAACATTCCTCAGGGTAATGATGTACTCAAGCAATGAAATCCAGCCACGAAATCCAGAATTCCCCTTCATACAGGCCAACTGGCAGAACCGGAAGGTGGTAATTTTGGTGCAGCACTTTTAGTTAAGTGCATCAGTATAGTTCTGAAAAGGGGGAGGTCTCTCTAAGTATCTTTGGCTGTCTTGGAATATGATGTAGGCCAGGCCAATCTTGAACTCACAGAGATCCTCCTGTCTCTGCCTCCCAAATGTTGTGATTAAAGGCAAGCTCCACTGGCTAAATGTTTCAATTTTAAACTAGTTTAACCAATTATTTTCTTACAAGTTGATTTAATTAAAGTGCCCCTGACCCATTTTGGATTTCAAATCTTTTGAGTATTCAGATAAATGTTAAATTTCCTACAGAAATGATGACTGGGGATGAAGAATTTCTATGGGTTTAAAAATCCAAAACATAGACTGTATATTCTCAAGAGATACTGGATCTAAAATCTGTCTTGGAAAAAAGATTCCAATGAATAAAAAATCAGAATTAAAAGATGTTACCTCTTAGTTATTATCAAGAAATCATTCTGGTGATATAAATGACATTCTAAAGAGACGTCTAAAATTAAGGTCATTTCCTTTCCTTTTCATGCAGATGTTTAAAAGGTCTAAATGCATAACTCGGTCATCATGCGTATTATCCATAATTTTAATAACAATTTATAAGCAAAACATATGTGCTATTTGCTTAGAAAAAGTATGTCATAATATGATGAGCATATAACTTTCTGTGATGTTCTCATGCTGGAAAAATTGATATAATTCAGAAGCCTAAACCTCATTTTTTCCAATGGGAAATGATTTGTTCAAATACTTTCAAATAAGAACTATTTGCCACCAAGATGTTTTTGATGACATTAGAACAAAAGACTGAATAGTATTAAAATGATATGTAGACCTTTTGAATTGCTTTTCACTTAAGGCAGATATTGACTGAATATTAAATTTTGTTCAAGGGATCATTCAATAAAAGTTAAAAAATTCTGCTCATTATTAATAAACTGAAACTGAACTAGAATAAATCTATATAAGCAGAAGGGGGAAGTAGGTTACAACTTAACTATCTGAAAATGCTGATATTAGCACTCTATTTCTTCTGTCCAAATCAAGTGTTAGCTGTGACTTCCTGACCGAGGCATGCAAGTCAGAAATAGAACTTTTCCTCAGTCTTATATTTTTAGATCTCATATGGGGTGAAATTTAGAAGAAAACATGAAAACTAAGAATGTAATGCTGGACACACTGTGCTGAGTGTGTGTCTCTCACCCTTGTACACACTGCGGCTATGTATAGTATGCTCACTAATGTACTGGAATGGCTCAGGGCAGCCAGCACAGAACCTTAAGAAAGGGGAACAACATTGCAATTCAGAGTCTGGTACAGATGAAAACAAACAAGTTCACCCTTGTGTCTGCAGCTTCCAAGTTCAGTTACACATTAGCCAGCACTAATTTCACCCTGAAGGCTGGGAAAATAAAACTGTTTTTTTTTATTTCAGAAATAAATTTCTTCTTTGAAAAGATATGTTTTCATCATTCTTTACGCACAATTATATAAAAACAAGTGAAAGAAAGTTTCAAAGAGCATTAATTTCATGCTTTAGAACTTGGAGAATTTTATATAATTAGTAATGTTAGCTGAGACTGTAATGACCAAAAGGACAATAGGTCTTCTTTATTTTTTTCCAAAAATAGATGCAATTGCTAGAGAAAGGCAGAAAGTTACTCAGAGCTGTCTCGTATATTAACTACAGAAAGGTCTAAATTCCCTTTGAAACATATATTATAAATAAAATGAAAAAATAAAAATATTAATTTAAAACTGTTTGATAGTGACATAATGAAGAATGGATTACATCTTACTGTAGTTTATGTAATATTCACCTGGTTAAAAGGCAGCGCAATCGCACCTTCTCCTCCCTGGCTACAAACTGAGTGCTAACAAACAAGCACATCACTGAAGGCGTGCACACTTCCCACACTCTAATCCAAGCGGCCACTGAAAGCTAGAATGGCCGTTATCCTCAAAAAGTAAAAAATCTGCTTCCAGAAAAGACAGAGGGAGAAAATCATTTAATTATAATTTTTTTTTTTTTTTTTTTTTTTTTTTTTTTTTTGGCTACAGCACCCAGTATTCCCAGGCAGTCTTCCATCCAAGTACTAACCAGGCCCGACCTTGCTTAGCTTCTGAGATCAGACGAGATCAGGCACCTTTAGGGTGGCATGGCAATAGACCATTTAATTATAAATTTTCTAAGAATTATTTTAAATTTAAAATTTCTTTGTAAGTCATTAAGAAGTATGTGATAAATTAAATGATATAGGCTAATGTACTTCCTCAATCATCATAATTTGAAAAGGCCTAATTTATTCATTTTAAACATTGTAGAAACATTCTACACACCCAAAATTAATGTAAAACTACTAGGTACTCTCTTCAATTTTAAATTATTTTCATCTCTATAAGTAAATACATTATAAAATTCTGTGTGATACTAATACATTTAGTTATGGAAGTCATGAAAATCAAACTTACTTTTAAGAAAAAAAATACAAACAAATCATTTCATGAAAGTCAATCTACAAAATTCAGGTTATCTACTTCCTGATCTAATCACAGAGTAAATATCTATATGCTCATGCCTCATTTCATACATTGTATCCTTGGCTTATAATAGTTTCTTAAAATTCATAAAATAGAAGGAGTCACAAATTTATCCCACTGAGACTTCAATATTAAAAACGTTAAAAACGTGTTAAACCTACTAAAATGCATTAAAATCTATACTTCAGTAATAATGGAACAAAAGAATTATTGCTATTGTCCTAGAATTTTGCAAAAAAGGGGGGAGCCCCAAACTTGAGAACATGAACAATTAAAGCTCTTTTGGGGATAGGACTCTCTCTTAGTAAGAATCTTCTCTAATCATAGGAAAGGCTAGTGTTGGAACTAGCAGGAAAATCACACCCAGGAACACACATCAGTGTGTTCATTAGCAACAGTGCTGCATTGTTTACGTTACTCTGTACAATCAGCAAAAGACAAATGTGTTTGCTTGAAACGGACATCAGCAAGCACACCACCACTCAGTTGGCTCAAATCTCATGTTTTAGCCTTTTGGTAATTTATATGTCGGGTTTTTTTTTCCCTTTTTTCCTTTTCCCCTTCCTTCCTTCCTTCCTTCCTTCCTTCCTTCCTTCCTTCCTTCCTTCCTTCCTTCCTTCCTTCCTTCCTTTTTGGTTCTTGTTTGGTTTGGTTTTGAATTTAGCTTTTCGAGACAGGGTTTCTCTTTATAACACTAGCTTTCCTGAAACTTGTTTTGTAGACCTGGCTGGCCTCCAACTCACTGAGATCAGCCTACCTCTGCCTCCTGGGTGCTGAGATTAAAGGTATACACCAATGCACACACATGCCAATCACACATGACATGCTTTCTGCGAATTTCATTGACTGCAACCCAAGTGTTTAAAGTTTAAGAAGTTTCAGTTTAGGGATAAAGGAAGCAACAAAAATTATTTTGAAATGAGATAACAGTATAAAAAGAAAAATAACTACTAAATTCATCTCTGACAGCAGGACAGAAACTCTGAGCTTAGAAAAGTCTACACCTGATCTTCTCTTTAGTTCTACTTGGCACGGAAGTCCTGGCTGCCTAGCACTGTGGGACTCCTTTTTTAGTCTCTTAATGACTAGCCCCACAGGAATGACCTACCACACTCTATTTAATAAGTTTATCACTAGTATGTTAAACTCACATTTTGACAAATCAGCTGACAAACTGGAAATAATAAAGTCGTGTAAAAGAAAACTGACTTGGTGACTCATTAGCACATAAAGTTTAATTACAATATATTGACTTAAAGTGAAAAAAAAATCTCAAGTTGCAAAAACTCAGTGGTTCATCGGGGAATGATTTTGGTATTGAAAACTGACCACATGACTTTAAATACAACCATTTCCACAGGTTTCATGCCACCACAGGGCAAACAAGTGGACTGCACAAAGTGAATGGATTTCATTGGCACCTTCTAAAATTGACCCCCTACATACATCCATTACGTCAATCTAGTACATCTCAGCATTAGTCAAGTAAGCGTTAAATAAAACTTTTACCCATTATTTCTAAAACATCAGTTTCATAACTATCTTACTGAGAAAGGTACTCACCTCTATGAGACTGGAGTGTATTCCAATCAGGTATGGCATTGGGGCACTAAATTAAAAATATATATGTATGTATATATTCATATTGTTCATTAAAACTGAAACAACACAAAAGCAATTCAAATGCTCAAAAACTAACTTCAAGTGCTCAGTTCCACCATTAGATGTTACAGATACTAAAAAACAGTCAATATATAAAAGTTGTATTTCATCTTATAGGCCATTATTATTTAATGTTTGTTTATATAAAAACTTGAAATCATTTATTATTAAATCAAAAGTTCTATGCCTAAATAAGATGTTTTATTTAAGAAGATTATCAAGGTGTAGGTCACACTGAATCATTTCCATGTAATTGATAGCAAAAATATTCTAAATAATCATCCAACGTATCTAATTTCTTTTATACACACTCCTGTTCAATTTGATTATCTGTTATTTTTTTTATATTTATTTCTTTATTATGTATACAATATTCCGTCTGTGTGTATGCCTTCAGGCCAGAAGAGGGCACTAGACCCCATTACAGATGGTTGTGAGCCACCATGTGGTTGCTGGGAATTGAACTCAGGACCTTTAGAAGAGTAGGCAATGCTCTTAACCTCTGAGCCATCTCTCCAGCCCGATTATCTGTTATTTTAATGAATCGTCGTGGTTTCGTACCTAACGAGTCACTCACTATTTACTGTGTGGGTCTATCCTGTTGTCACTATTCTAGAACCAGTGACGTAGGCTAACAAGTCCCCTCTGTGCTCCTGTCCTCGTGTTCCTGCAGGTTCATTTCACTTTCATTCTTACTAGTATAATAATTTTTTTTCAAGGCAGGGTTTTTCTGAGTATCCTGGCTGTTCTAGAACTCAGTTTGTAGACCACGCTGGTCTCAAACTCACAGAGATCTGTCTGCCTCTGCCTCCTAAGTACTAGGATTAAGGTGTGCACCACCTTTGCCACTAATATAAGAATTTTAATAAAAAATTTTCAAGTCTAAGAATAGGTTTGAATTAAGTATTTAAGGCCACAATTTTTGGAGCATATCCGATCCAGGCCTTTGGACAGAAACTTAAATATGGTAATAAACAATGTTGTTGGGATATATTTCCTCCTGGACTTTATGCTCCAGCAGAAAATAAAGATACTAAATCATTTTAGTATATAACATATGAATTAGGAAAGTGTTAGAAATAGTTGTTAGTAAATACAGGAAGAAAAGTATTCATCTTAAAATCTGAAACAAAATAATCAACAGAAAAATATGAGGACAGATAGACGCCTATGAAAATAATAAACAATATGAGAACACATAACTACTTTTTAGAAACACATTTTCGGGGACCCTTCCATAGCTACCTCTTACGTTTAACACCTTTTCTGCTAACTCAAATCCTGTTTCTCGAAGGTTTATATAATGCTCTGAACAGTACTGTCACTAAACAGAACTGCTCAGGCTCCCGGATATGAACTTCACTGCAGAGAAGCAGATACCCTGACTGGTCTCAAAGCATCTCAGAAAGTTCCAAGTATAGTCAGTTAAGGATGACTTAAAATAGTCTATATATCCAGAATCCCAGAAACCATGAGCCATGTCGTTTCTCATTACTATGTACATGCAGAATTTCGTTACTGTGTTAATTCTCGCTCCTGGTTGTCTTTGCTTATTGTAGCCTTGTTCTTTTACATTCTTTTAAAATGTCTATACAACTGACCATCTGGATGGCATTGGTGTGATATTCTGTAAGTTTCACTTGACTACTTACATGCCTTGATTTCCTTAGGAACTAATGGATTTTCTGCCTTAAGAAGGAAATAGAAACAAGTGTGGACTGTTGCACTCTTGCTGGCAGAGGAAAAGCTGCTTATCGCCTTAGTCTAAGTTCTTGTCCCTGGGTTCCTTCTACAATTCCATAGAAGACATAAAATGCAGATCACTTCCCAGGGCTCCAAGCACAACTTTGGGCAAATGTCACAAAACAGCCAGCCAACTCTCAGTATCTTAAATATACCACATCCATCAAACATCAAAGATAGTATCTTAAAAACACTGTAAGAACTTCTAGATCCTCCGAGGTTTACAATATTTTTACCAATGAGGTTATAATACCAAATAGTTCATAGTATCTTAAATTCTAAAGAATATTTTAGTAAGCGTATTAATCAAAATATTTGAGCCTTGTAAAACTAAGAAGTATATCCATCTTACAAATGTTAGACAAACACTGAGGAAAACAGCATTTCATAAAGCAAAAGTCTAAACTAACTAGACTTTTAAACTAAAATAATCCAGAAAAAAAAACCCTTTGAAATGTTTCTGAAAGCTACTTGCAATCTGAGATACAAATAATATGCTCATGTAAATTAAGCTAGAACTAAAATTATATAGTAGCAGGGTTCTATGATAAATTTAACAATGTATCAACTCAAAAGTCTTTCCTGAGATCATTGAGCATGGCTGTATAGTCTATTTTTTATAGCTAGCTTGTAGCAAATTCCTAAACTTACAGATGTTTGAACTGAAAATACTAGAAAATAATTTTCTAAAATCATTATGATATTTGACAGAATACAGTGTTTATAGATTCAAATGGATAGTGTTTCTTTCCCACAGAACTGTACGTGTGCTATTGTGACATAGCCAATCTCATGGAAAGTCACTCTGCAATCCCAGCTGGACTAGCTATTCTACTTTGATGAGGGTGTTGGTACATCAGTAAATGTTTAATGGTGATAAAGATGCTCCATTATCCATGTGTAAGGCTGTCTACAAGCCCTACTGTCTGTGATATTATTTAGAAAAGACAGTACAGACGGCTCTTAACTATTTCTTCTTTGTGGTAGAATCGTTAAGCAAAATCACCCTTTTTTTCCTTCTTAAGCTACTTGCAAAGAAGCTTACCTAACATATACTATATATATTACATCAATCACAGTAGTCTGAAAGAATATCATTTTTTATTTTTTTCTTAGAATCTAATGTTATAGTTTCAAAGACATAATCTAGACTAAATGACTTACTTAAGCACTGCTTGAGCAGATAATAATCTATGATAACCTTGGTGGCCTTATAGCCACACATCCTCCTACATGCTTATGGGCTCAGACAGTTTTGAAGTGTCTGACTGTTGCTTTGCTTGAGTAAGAGGAAAACGCGGATGCTATCACTTCCACCTAACAGCTTTCCTGAACTGAGCAAGAGTGCTGTCCACCCAGATCTCTGAGTGATTCTGCTATAGCAATTATAATTAGTATAATTGTAATTATACTATACTCGGATGTGTGCATGAAGGTGTGCAGAGGTGTGTGTGTTTCAGGAAATAAATAAGTAAAGCTTATTTACTGAATTACATAGTATAGCTTTCCAAAAAGTGGTCACTAAACAATGGAAGGGTGGGTGGTAGGTGTATGGACGGATGGATGGGTGAACGGATGGACCAACCAACAATGTAATAAGAGTGTCAAAGGACCAAGATGTGCTATTCATCTATGGTCACAAGAGGGCATTATGGTTCGCCAAGTCTATGGAACATCACTAACACGAGGTGCAAACACAGAAATGTTTTCTTGATCCACGAATGGTTCAGGATTTGCAACATCCGAATCACTCTGAAAAGTTAACCAAGATAGATGCAATCCCCCCAAAATATGTGGCCCCATTGGAATAAAGTAAGTTTTTTGTTGTGGGAATGATTTACACTTTTCTTCCTTCAGCATGTATCAGTATGATCCTAATATCAAGGACGTAAAAGGAGGAGAATCGTTTTCCCTAGGATACTGCTTAACCTATCATATTTTCTGACAATAGGATGAAGTCACATAGATGGATAGAGATCCTTGAACAAAAACTGAGCCAACCATAAGACTTTAAGGCTCAGAAAGTTTTCACACATTTCCTTGTTTAGACACCACTGCTCTACTCTGAACCAGAGAATACTGGCATGGGGGTCATTGGAACTTGTCCTAGACACTATTTCTAGCATTAGAATCAAGCAAGCAATAAAGAAAGGAGGGGAGGGAGAAGTTTCCTTACTTAAAGTGGATAACACTTTCCTTACTTAAAGATTCGATAACAGGGTCAAAAAGAAGTATTTCTAGAAATAATAATACTACATGTAATTGAACTTAAAGGTATGTTATTATAAGAGGTCAGAACATTTTAACAGAAAAATTATGATGCAAGTAATATTGCAAAATGTGATTTTAATCATATAATTAGCTCTCAAAATACTTTAACTGTATAATGCTTTTAGAAAAGAGAACTTTAAAATAAATGTCTAGTTACAGAACGCTGTATACAGAAATCTATGCCTACGTCAACGTAAACAAACTGCATTCTCTGCCTTGAAGTAGGAAAAAATATTTTAAATATGCTGGTCAAAAGGAAAACTCTAAAATGATAACAGTAAAACTTACTTACTTACTGATCTAGCGTTATACTTATATTTGTGCACATTACACTTCATAATAAAATTAAAGTACATCCTGCAGGCTACAAAACTATTTTTCCTTTCAAGTTCTCCAAGGTAAGAACAGCAGTGGTGAGTCACTGCCTACCTACTTCACAGCATGAGTAATACTGTTACTACACATGGAAACACACAGTATAGCAGTGCAATCAATCTGGACAAGTATAAGCATTGTTCTCAAGAACACTAGTCCCAGAAAGTTAATAAAACACCTACCACCCCTTTGCATAAACATTGCATTTTTAAATAATCAACAATCCTTAAGGAAATAATAAAAATTTTAAATAAATATATTAATTCAAAAGTACTTTGATTTTTTACTAATACTAGCTTTGATATAAGAAAATCATCTATGCAAAATGATTTCTGTGTCTGTTTGCATCTGTGTGTTTGTATCTGTTTATGTGTATATCTGTGTGTGTATCTTTGTGTGTGTGTGTGTGTAAAACATGAATTTATACAAAGGCATGATTCAGATAAAGAAATCTCAACAAATTTCTTGAAAATTAACTATGCCTGCAGGTTATTACATGGTGAAAACAATTCTTTACCCTCGAATACCAAAACTACAGCATTGGGGATCTAGTTCTTGAGTGGCTTCTCTATACACAATCAAAGCATCTGCTTTGGAGTCTCCTCCTTGTCTCGCCTTACTATAGAGAAGCCTTGCTAAATTCCAGTCAGAGAGAACAAGGAGGCCATTGGCCATTGTTCTAGTTTCTAGTGGCCTGATTGAACTCAGATTACTTAGCTCACTGGGAGCTGTTTCTAAAGCCAGCCAGTTCTCACAATTGCTCTCACACTTTCCATGCTGGTTTTCTTGGTTGCTTTAGGCACACTTTGCCTCAGACTAGACTCTCAAAATTTCTTGTACTAGAAGCAATCACTTTCACAATACTGTTTTCGGGGTGCTCCTGAGAAGAGAGGAGGTAAAGGAAAAGGGTGTCTATCACAGGCAAAGGTATGAAAGCTTGTCCTCAAAGAGCCAGTAGGATTATGGGTAGATTTGACAGATAAACTCTGATACCTGGGATATTTGTTCTCTGACACTAGAGCCATTGTATAATCTTTGAGCCACAAAATAAAATTATATTTCATACTTAAATATCATTTTCCTAAATGACCACAAAATAAATTTGCAAAATTTAAAGAAATACATCTGCCCAATCTAAATTTTTATTATCTTTAGAATGAACTATTTTAATGCATATAAAAATGTTCTTTTATACTTAAAACTTATCTGAGAGTCAAGTTTCTGTGGTTTCTTTAATCTATACAAGACTCTAATGGTGAAACCCAGGTTGAGGGGTCTGGCGAGGCCGGCTTACCAGCAGTAGTCCAGCAGGTGTGGAGGAAGCACGGGGATGTAGATGTGCTGCCAGTACATCGGGTAGAGCAGAGCGGCCGAGCCGTGGAGACAGGCGGTTAACTACAATTCACAGAGAGGGAACAATAATGAGGGGCTGCTGACCCTCTAAAGAAAAAGGCATGTTCAAGGTATCAGAGATGAGTGATCATCATAGGACAACTGACGCAGTGACATAGCATACACTGTTTTTACCAACTCCACATGTAAAAGCCTGTGTCTCTACGGTCCCTCGGAAAAACACACACAGCAAAAGAAGTTTCTTGGGAATCCTATGCAGATTTTATATTCAAATTGAAAATATAGTTAAGGTAAAATTTTGTACCATAAATAAAAGTTGAAGTGAAAAAAAATTAGTGAGTCTCTTAGAAAATCTTGTAGGAAGTGACAATTTGTGCAGCAGTCTGCACATCACTCAGATTAATACAACACGATTAAATATGGAAAGAAGAGAGGCTGAAAGCTCCTGAGGGATATCATTAGGGCAAATTGCCAAAGAATGAAACATGAGCCAGTCAGGAGAGTCTGGAAGCTGCAATAATACCAGGGGACTTGAATGTTCGACAGTTGGAGCTTCAGTAATGTGTGAACTGTGGGTTATGGTATCAGGAGACTCTGTTCACTGACACATAGAATGTCACTATTGACCAGCGAGCTGCCCAAGCTTGACAGCTGTACTACAGGAAGCCAAGTATATCATAATTTCATATTTAAACTGCTCATTCCAGATTAACATTTTGTTTCCTAGCTTTAGATCACAGCGGCTGCAATTACACTGTTGCTACTTTAGAGGTAATTGCCATTTTAATTGTTGTGTTTGGGCAAGCAGTTAATTAAAATTTTTTAATGCCTAACAAAGGGATACCACTTTTTTCTTCCTCCTAACTAATCCTCATTCATATTTCTTTCTGTGTGGCTTCTTTCTTAAAAATTACTATAGTTATAAAGTATATTTTTTACTGATTGAAGTAGTAATTAAATCAGTGTTCTTTTTCATTATTTTAAAGTTTTACTATCATCTCTATTTCAAGGTTCTCAATTAAGCCATTTTATTTAACTTCAAAGTAAGAATTTTTTTAAAAAGTGTACGAAAACATATTACAGACTTCCCATAAAGAAATAGCTCCATCTTTTTTAAAAAGAGCTTAAAATATAAACACAATAACTACATGGAAAACAATACATGAGCACAGAGGAATCAAAGTCTCGCTAACAGCATCTTTCTTCTACTCGCAAGTGTAAACAGGCTGCATTCAATTAAAAAATTAATTAAGGATTAAGATAATGTGATCAAAAATAAAAATACTATAGTTTTCAATCATCTTTTTCGTGTATATTATGTATTTTCCAGTCAAGTTATTTTGTCAAGGTTAGGTGACAGACAATGCGGTCTGATTCACATTTCCTACCTGGTGCTGACACAGGATCCCAGTGCCTTGCATACAAGCTCTGTTAGTCTATCACAGCACCCTTTCAATAAATGATACTCTTAATTCCTTAATTCCAGCAAACATTATGGCACTAGAAAACTTCAAATCTGTACATTTAACAAGTACAGACCAAGATCTGAGGAGGGCACAAACAAGCTGGAGAGCCTAGACATGAAACTGAGCTCCATACTGCCCAGTTCTCCAAGAGCTTTCAGACACACTCCAAGGCTTTATGGAAAGAAGTTACATCCCTCTGAAAGGCATAGTTATGCACTTCCCCACATGAGAACAAGTGACTTTGTAGCATTTCATTTAAAACTTTAGAAAGGGAAGCTTTCCTTTCTTATGGAAAAAGCCATGTGAAGCAAAAGGAAACGCTCATCTCAAAATGAGGAGCTGCCAGGAGGGCAAGATTTCACTGAGTTCGCAGTGCAAGACAGTCACCAGATGCCCTGGAGCCACGCCTACTCACGAGCAGGGCATCCCTGCACACGTTCCTTGACATCCACCAAAAGCAGCGGCATTAGGTGGCAGGAGGCGGACTGGCTTCTTGGACCATTAACAGCTGACTCACAAATGTCTGCACTGCCCAGTATTTGGCAAGTGATACCTTTGCTAATCAAGCCTACCAGAGGAGAATTAAGCCATACAACCCTTGGAAACTTTCAAGATAAGCAGACAGAGAAGAGGAAAAGGAAAGAATATAGGACAATCTCTTTTTCACTATTGTCTGCCTTAAGAAACCATACTGCATCACCTGGATGAATAAACTACCATGAGGCTTATTCATTCACGATATATCAAGTTCAAAATTAGGTGGGCCACTAAGGAATTAGACTTTCAAAATAATCACAATTTTGATTAGAAAATTGAACTTATATTTATGAAAAAAGAAAACTAAGGAAGATCCAATATTCACTATTCACCCAGCGGTACCCAAGAGCTATGACATTTAAAAGACTGAGCAATTAATATAGCATGAAGTTGAAGAAAAGATAGCAAAATTACAAGTAAAGAAAATCAATTATTAAAAAATAACTGTGACTAAGAAACTAAACAGACATGTTGTATGACATCTAACACCCAGTTTACCAGTCACAATCAGAGCTCTGAGACTAGCAAGCTGCGTGGCCTGATACCTACTCACATCACCTGGTCTCAGCTTCCTGATCTTTAACATAAGAAGTGTATAGTAGATCGTGTGTAAGCACTGTCTGTACAGGGCAAACACTCTACTTTTAGATGACATCAATTTTAGTATTTCATATTCTTAGTAAAAGATTTTTATCCAACCCAGATGGTTCATAGTATACATAGTCTACCAAATCCAAAGATTAAATATAAATGTTTTAAAGCCTATTAATAACTGTGAAATCAGAAAAATAATATTTATTTGCTTATGTCAACAACAAAAAATTAGTACCTTTTACATGCTATCCCCTATCCCACTAGACAACAAGGACACAATTCTGAGCACACTTACACCCTGTCTCCATGAAGCTTACATGTCTCGGGAAAAGCTAACGAGAAAAATATCATACCTTGCATGTTGGGCATTTTTTTCTAAAATACCCAAACCCCAAAGTCCTCCCACACTCTTTTATTTTTTAAATGCCAACATGATACTAAGTGGAAAACTCCACAGCTGATCTCACATAGCAGGTTCCAGTCAAAATGCATGTGCACAAAAAATATTGTTAAATAACCTTCAGGTTACATGTCCAAGGAACATATGAAACTTGAATGAATTCTGTTTTGATTCTGATCCCATACTCAATATATTTCATAATGTATCTACAAATATTTTAAAATCAAAATAATCCAAAACACTTCTGGTTCCAAGAATTCCAGTCAAAGGATCATCAACCTGTCAGTGAGAATGCTATAAAGAAACCTACAGCAGAGTAATGGCAGAAAAACAAAAGCTTTTCTAGGGAGAGGACTGTAGAATAACTCTGATGGGACTGAACTGAACTCAAATGAAGTAAGAGAACAGACTATTGTGGAACTGGGGAGAACATCCTCAGCAAATGAGACACAGTGGTCAAAAACCTTGCCACGGAAGGGCACACAGTCTCTCCACAGAGCAATGGGGGGCTGTTCAGAGCAAGTGAAGGTGGCAATAAACGACATCAGGCAGGAAATGTAGTCTGTTGGAGGGTACAGCAAAGATTCTACATTGCAGTCTATATCAGGTCTTTCCACAACTTTAAAAAGCGTGGGAATCATATAAATACAGCACTAAAAATGTTAAAAATACGAAAAGAGCATTGTTACATGTTTTCTACCAGGAACATTATGTGAATTAAGGAAATGAAGAGGAAAAAATATATATACATACATATAATAATATATGTGTGAGTCCCCAATGACTCATGTCCTCCATTATACTACCATAAAACATTTATTATATACTTAGGCATAAACTTACAAAGTATGCAGAAGAACTGTAGAAAGAAAACACTTTAAATCAATTATGAAAGAAAGACAATAACTAAATAAATTGGAGTTTTGCCCATGCTTATGAATAAAAGGCAGTATTTTCAAGATATGAACTCTTACAAAATTGGTCTATAGAATCAATGCAACCAAAATCCCAGAACATTGTTTCCTGTATTTCAATAAGCTGACTAATACCCACATGAAAAAGAAAAAGCCAGAATAGTAAGCGTATTCTTGAAAGAGAAAGGCAAAGTTGGAGGATGAATACTTGTAGTCAGAAGTCACTTGTTCGTTCCCGGCCACTCATACCCGAAATAATCGCATAGAAACTGCATTAATTAAAACACTGCTTGGCCTATTAGCTTAAGCATATTTCTAGCTAGCTCTTACATCTGGAATTAACTCATTTCTATTATTTTATATTTTACCATGAGGCTCATGGCTTGCCGGTACTGGTGCATGGGCATCTTTCTCCTCCAGCGGCTGCCTGTTGTCTCCCTGACTGCCTACTGTCTGACTCTCCTCTATCCACTCGGATTCCCTCCTTGACCTATTCTGTGCTGCAACAGGTCCAAAGCAGCTTCTTTATTAACCAATGGTAATAAAATGTATTATTCATAGCATGCAGAGGGGAATTCCAGATCAGATACTATTTGGTTTCATAATGTGGCTGTAAAGCTGCAGCCCTGAAGCCAGGTTAACATTAGTGAAAGCATGGACACAGCTACAGAACAGTTGTTCCAGAAATAGACCCACAAAATAACATCAACTGATCTTTAACAAAGAACCAAAGACATTCAAATTAAGTAAGGGAGGTATTTTCAACACATATTATTAGAACAATTAGACAATGGAATGCATTAAAAATGTAAATTGAGGTAAGTCTTAACATCCTTTACAAAATGTAACTCAAACAGATCACAGACCTAAATATAAAATGCCAAGTTATAAATATCAGAAAGATAACAGGAGAAAAAATCTATATGCCCTGGGGCTTGACTGTTAGACATGACACCAAAGACATGATACATTTCAGAGACTTGAGAAGGTACAATTAAAAATAAATGTATGTTCTACAAGTTGAGGGTACAGCCTGACGGCAGAATACTTTACCCATATGTGCAAGGTCCTTGGTTCAATCCTTAGCACCATAAGAAACAAACATACAAACAAAAAGGTAGAAATTTATTC